AAAAAAAAAAAAAAAAAAAAAAAAAAAAACTTAATGACTCCAAAATTTTCCCCTCCAAAATTTTCCCTATGCTTTTTAAATTAAGAAACTATTTTATAAGATTTAGATTTTCTAGGAACCTCCTACACACATTCTGTTCAAGCACCTTGACAACAATATACAAGACAATTCCATGCCCTACCCACCCAGAACCAAGGAATTCATATTTCTTGGCAAAGAAATATGTACTAGGCTTATAGAATGCCTGAGAGCCTTAAACAGAGCCCATTTTAAATGTGTCGAGTGAAAAATAACGTGAAACATTAAAGTTCAATTTGGCTGCTTAGTGAACCCTAAAAGTGGCCAAATCCCAAGAAATTAATGGTCCAACTTTTCCTTATAATTTTGTAGTGATGAGAAAGTAAGGAAAAGAGGATAAGTTCTTGATTAAAAAGGAAAGGTTGCCTTTACATCCGTTTGAAATATAAGACAGCCAAATATTAAATGTGCATTCTAATCATCAAGAACAGCCATATGTTACTGGGTTTCCGGAAGGGTTTGCATAGTCAACATCCACTGAAACATCCAAAATACCGAAGGTAATAGTCACCAATGTGATATGAGAGAAAATAGTAATATCCACCTCATATGTCACTGGGGATGTTTGATTGTCCTTGTCATAAATGAAGGCAAGAAGAACGTGCTTGAACTCCTCATACGCCTCCTTCAACATAAATAAAAGAGAAGTCAGCCAAAAGAATAAGCAGAAAAGTTGCAGAATCTGATTTAAAAATAGCACAGTGGTTTCTTCCCCCGAAGAATTCAAGACATTATGGAACAATATTATGAGTTGGTCAAAAGTTATTCTACGGTGCTCTTCTCTGAGAGATGGTTGGACTTTTGGGTTTCTAAGGTGCTCTCTCTCTCTCTCTTCTTTTTTTTTCACCTTTCTGTAGCTACAGCTACTTCTTTATTACGCCAACTAGAGTAGAAAAAAGATGGCTTATGGCACTTCCTCTCGTACTTCTCATAATTCAACCGAATTTTTCTTTCTTTGAAAAAGACAATAATTCTTTGCTCGATCTGATTACCAGAGAATATTTTCTTAAAAATATTAATTCGAGCAAACCGAGAATGTGTGAAATTCTTACCGGGTACGCGTCAAGAGCACAAGGAGCGAGCACTGTCCGAATGCATTGAATGGCCAAAACACGATCCTCTGGAGTCCCCTTCCTCAGAAGCTCAATAAATTTCTTTATACAATAAACACAGAAAGGGAAACGAATCAACTAAAAAGTTCCACCATACTGGTAATTGAAAACAAAAATACATGAAAGGATGTTCCCACTAATTAGGATATTCAGCTACCAAACAAACGGACTCTATGTTTCCTGATTTCCAATTTCCAATTTCCAATGAAGCATGATTAAAAACATGGAAATATCCCGTAATTAGCCTAAACAATCAAAATCAAAAGATATCGCATGAACAAAAAGAAGTTGCACATTCAACATTAGGTACGAAGCATCAGCGAGAGAGAGAGAGAGAGAGAGAGAGAGAGGGATAGAGAGAGCAGAATCAGTGAAACCTGCTTCTGTAACCGGAACAGTAGCCTATGATCATCCAGAATGAAGGGTGCATGAAGACGGAGGAGATCGATGGCGCAGTCAATATCACCGGACTCCAAAGAGCGTCTGATCTGGCGGATGATCAACCTGGAATGGTAAGAGGAGGAGGAAAGCGAGGAAGGGGAAGGGGAAGGGGAAGAAGGTGGGGAGGACGAAAAGGAATCCTCAATCAAGTTCTCTGATCTAGCAAAGTCGATTATTAGGGCATCGAGAGCTTCCCAGTTCAAAGGGGTGGAGTCCATTCGGAAGGAAAAGGCTAAGTTTGTGGATTAGAGGATATGAGTTTGCAATTTGGAAGAGAGGGGTCGCGTTGGCGCTGGCGCTAACCTTGTGCGCTCCCTCTGCCTCTGCCCAAAGGCGGCGATGTTGAGATGCAAAACCCAATGGAATTTGAATGCTATATTAAATGCCACGTGTACTTTTCGGGTTTAAACTGCGAGATCGCTTTGCCTTCCTCCTTTTATCATTTACGTATCGCACGATATCTTTCACCCTTGTTTATCACGAGTTATCGACGGACTTGTTTGAACCAATAGAATTTATTTAATACCCATTAAATTTATTTGAACAAAAAAAAAAAAAACTTCCTACATAAAAATTCCAAGTGTTTGAACAACAGAATTTAATGGTCAATTTTTTTTAAAAAAATGATAATTAATTTGAATCATGCATGTTCTTGTTATAAAATGGGGACAGTGGAGGCCCAATTATAGTTTATAATTTATCAATCAAGCCTTTGTGTCAAACTTGTCATATTGATGATAACATATTAATGTTGAAGTTTTTCTTTAGAGAATGAGATTTCAAACTGTACGAGATGAACAAATTAATTAAAATTCTGTAGTTCAACAGAGAATAGCTAGAACTATGAATGTTTGACCCGATCCAGAAGTAGATCCAAATATTTTCCTCAAGTGAGTAGGGGATGGAAGAAACAAAGCGCCACACAAAAGCATTCATGCAGTAAAATAACGAATATGGGCCAAGAACACTATAGACATCGAACGATTAATTGCAAACAAACATTCAACAAATTTGTACAGAAACAGCCCAGCTGATATACCAACACCATCATAAGAACCATAAACAACAAAAGGAAAAAGGTGCACAGTTCCAGTTAAGTTTCTGATCGATCTACAAAGTCATGTCAAGATGCGACGACTTATCATGGAGGGCCAACTTGGGCATTTTGCCTTGATTGTTGTCGTTGTCGGTGCCCGTGCCCGTGCCCGTGCAGCGCCCATCAACAACCGATCTCTTGAGGCTGAGAAACTCTTTCCATTTTGGTAGGCCTTTCGGGGGCACGAACGACGGCACTACAATAGCGTCGTCGTCGTCGTCGTCCTGAAGGAGAAGCTCATCTCTGAGAGTGGGCAACAATTTCCCCTTGAAGAAGAGTTCGTCGGCGGCGGTCATTGTGTGATTACTGGGATTGGTGAGTGCAGAGAATTCGAAGTCGTCGGAGACCGAAATATTTGGAGGGATGTTTTGATGTTGACTAATATGGGTGTTGGTGTTGGTGGAGTGATGGGATTCGACGAAGTCATTGGAAAAGGACAGTCTTGGGCTCATCGGCGGGTAGTGTCCCTTCTGATCTGGGCTCTTGTACGAGTCCAAGCAAGCCATTTGGTACTTACACAACAACTACACTCACACACACACAGATCAGAAAGGGCAGGAGAGAGAGCATGCATGCTTGCAGCCTGCGTTCTCTTCTTGTATTTATACGTCGCCCATCGCTGGATCCAACCACATCCACTATTCACCTTACTTTCTTTTATTTATCAAACTTGTTTAGGCCGCAGCAAAATTAAAAACAACATTAAAGAGAGAATCTAATGAGGTAGCTGGATATGAGATTTTGACTGGCAGGTTGAAATAACAGAGAATGAGCTGGCCATGCCAATGGACCATGTGGAAGGACATTGCTTTCTTTTTAATACAAATCACATTTAATTAACCAGACAGCCCCCTACTTGGCTTCTCTTTCGACTAAACAAACCAGCAGCTCACTGAAATAAGCCCTGCTTTTTTTCATATAAAGGCCACGGATTTCTATATTAACCTTGATTATTTGTTTGTTACAATTAATTAAGAGTTTCCCCAGTAAAGCATGTAGCATTCTCTAGCTTATAGCGTGTTTAGCATGTGACAGAGATTTTAATGATTTTTTTACCAAAAAATGGTGGTAGACGACATGTGGTTGTCGGTTCTCGGTTGTCACTCACATGGGTTAAGGCTTAAGAGACTGTGTTATTGCTATTAGTACTGGGGCGACGTGGAGATCGGGTCAACATATTACAACTGGTCTACACAAGGCACATTACATAATCTAGCAAATTTTGGCTCTTCTTTTTATGTTTGTTTGTGGGATGATTTTGTTTCCAACCCATAAAAAAAGACTCTCTCCCTATAATTTAGGGTTTATTAGAGAGACTAATTGAGTGAAGATACAGCTTAGTACAACATTAGCATCGTAAAACTCAATGGGAATGCGTATTATTCCATCTACCCACATTTTACTTAACTCTTTGTACTAGATAATTGTAATTAAATTAAAGTTGTCTTCTATTAGATATTACTTCACACATACACTGACAAAATTTGAACCCATGAATCTTTAGAAACTGTGAAGGTGACTTAACTAAAGCTGACCCATGGAGTTAATTCAAATAAAAAATATACCTTAACACTGGTAGTGATCTTCAAATTTCTCGAGATTCAAAATTAACCTTTTGGTAGATATTATATTTTAAAACTAGTTGAGTTTTACGAATCAAGTTGGTTTTGTGAACTATTACGGTTACCCTTTCACTTGGTAAATTTTTATCAGGAAAGAAAAATGACCCAAAATCATAAAACACCACATATTTCAGCATTCCATTCATGTGGTAATAGCCCCTGTTTACTAAACTAAACTGGAAAGCTCCCTCCTAGATACAAATCAACCAACATAATTTATAGTTAAATGCTAAATTGGTAGCTAAACACCTTATCAAGCACAGGATAACGTATTTCCCGGCCATTGTAATCCAGTGTTATGGCCAAAAGATGGTACAACAGGAAAACCTTCTGCGTTGTCGTCAGAAGATGTTCCATCATAGAAGACATCCTCACAAAATTTCAGAAATCTGCAACGCGGTCTCTTTCCAAGTTCAGCAATTGTAGATAACACAAAGAAGCAACACTAGGATGCGACTTTTTTGTTTTATAGGAAAAAGGCCAACTAAAATTCAGGAATAATTTTTTGGGACTGGTTTCCTTGGCAAAATTTATATCCATCAAAGCGCATGAAGATCAAAGAAAGTAGTAAAACACTTACATTAACGGGCATCTCAGCAATAACAAGCCCACTACTTCCTTCAATGCTTTCGAGAGTTACCACTTCACCCCCAACAACCATGTTGATTAAGATCCCATCTACGTAGAATCGCTAAGGAAGCAACTCTTGTGTATGAAGAAACCTAAACTGCGCAACTTATATTATAATCCTTCGCAGTATAAAAGTAACCTGAGGTTGAGCAGGTAGTCATGCGCCTCGTATACGTTTCCTGCAATAAAAATGACATGAAGTTTAGAAACAATAATTTGTGACAATAATCAAAATCTGCTTACGAATTCACTTCAGACAACTTTTCAAATGTCTAGTTTTAGGAGTTTGCTTAAGAAAGATCAGTACCACATCAACCAACAGGAAGAGGAAGGCAGGCGTCTTACCCATTCATTTTTACAAATTATCAGCTCACGATCCTGTAGTCTGAAAACTACACCTTATGGAAGATCCCACATTGGTTAGAGATGGAACGAATCATTCCTTATAAGGGTGTGGAAACCTCTCCCTAAAAAATGAGTTTTACCATGAGCCTGATGGTGATACATAACGAGCCAAAATGGACAATATCTACTAGCGATGAGTTGGGTTGATACAAATGGTATCAAAGTCAAACACAGGGCGGTGTGCCTCCAAGTGGGTTAGATTGTGAAATCTCACATCGGTTAAAGAGGGTAACGAAACATTCCTTATAAGTGTGTGGAAACCTCTTCCTAACAAACGCGTTTTAAAACCGTGAGCTTGACGACTATACGTAACAGGCCAATGTAGACAATATCTTGCTAGAAGTGGGTGGTCTGTTGCACCTTCTCTGTTGGTAGGTCATAATTTATCAAAACATGGACAGAAAGAGGTGAAGCCAAAAGTGGAAGGCAGGCGTCTGTTACTACAATCATGTGAGATTTTCTCCTACTTTCTCAACCTCACATTTGTCTTCTAATAGAGATCTGAACTTTTGGCTCCACCTTCGTGTTGTTTTCTGAAATTTCTCTAATATCAGTGCTCGGTCTGCTTCAGCAAGGTCACTGTACTGAAGATGACAAGCAATAAATACACTGCATCAATATAAGTCAAAAAGTAAGTCTTATCCATTCAAAGCGTGGTGCTACCCCATATGTATGCCAACATGAGTAACGTATTGACAAGAAGAAGGAAGAAGACAAAATGTACTCAGTGTAAGATTTAAATGAAAAAGGGGTAATTTTCCCTAGCACAAATAAGTAAAAACACAAACTTGTTCCTAAGACCGTATTAACCATAAAGTAAAAGTAAGTGAACAAATGACAGAAAACAACTGACCCACACAGGGTCAAAACGATTTAGCAGTATTCAAAAACTGTAAGATGGAGGATACTGAAAACAGTAAATTGTATAGGGTGACCTTGTCATCCAGTCAATTGATATTCAATCAACTCTTGCCCAGAGTTAATGTGAGCGATTGCCCAAAATTGATATTGAATCCACATGGCACAATTACCATCCGTAATGGTTAGTTTCACCGGTTGGTTTCCATTATCAACTGAAATACAATAAAATAAGGTCAAGTGTATTAATGTGAGCGATTGCCATTATATTGGTAGCACTCTGCCAATCAAAGCATCTCATCCATAGAACTAGGACCCGGATGAACAATACAACCCAAAGAGCTGATCCTGTTCAAGATGATGTCATGACTCCTGATCCGAGCGTCCTATCATATTGACAATTCATACATTGAAGATCAATTCAGGCAAGTCGTAACTCGGAGATTAAATTATTCGTTAAGTGGCACAAAAGAATGCATCCATCAGGCTCAGGCTTCGGCATTTCTAGACCAATTTCCCGAATTTCACTTGGAAGAGCTTTTATTGAGCAAAAATAAACATACCAAAGAGGCCAGAGAGATGTATTGGAGGTTGGAGACGGAGGAGCAGATAGCGTCGATCTCGTCGCGAGAACTGCAGAGCACGATCATCCGCAAGGACGGACGGCGACCGGCCGCGTCCAACAAACCCACCAACGTTTCCTGCCAAACAAAGTACAAGTCTACAAAAATATCAACCAAACATTACAGTGGAATCCCAGAAATATGTATGAGCATAGATAGAGAGAATGCGACTATCTTAAACTAGAGCCTGTCAACGGCAACATAAAAGTGGGCAGACTGAGAAAGTGAAACAAAACGAGGATCGATGAATATAGAAACACGAGTTAGCATAATACAAAGGATGGAGGAAGCTATAACAGTACCTGAAATGGAAAGATGAGCGAGAGGGAGGCGAGGGGTTTTCGATTGCATCAATTGCCATGGTCGCTGCGGGCAGCACAGCGCTCTCGCCAAACTGCTTCCAAGCTTGAGGGCTGAAGTCTTTCTTTCCTTAATACAGTCGTACACGCCTCGCGCTTCGCTTTTCGCAAGAATCTGGGATTTCCAAGCTTGAGGGTATATTATTTTTATTTTTATTTTTATTTTTACGTCCTCCATTATTTTATAAATAGAAATATAAAGCATTCACTTTTATTTATTTTTCACTTTATAATTAAAATATATCAAAATATTCACAATTAACACATCTTCGCGACTAACTCCATATGTTTTCCATTAATGTATGTTTCCACTAACATACAAAAGTAAACTCTATTTAAATTGTATAATATATAGTTTGATTTAATTTAAAGTAAAACTTTTAAATTTGTTTCCTTTTGCCCATCTCAAAAAATAATGAATGTATTTCTGAATTCATCCACTACATTTAAAAATATATTGAAACTATATACACAATAAATTTTAAACTAACTTGAATGAAATTCAAAATAAATAGATAAATATAATAATTAATGTAATTTTGTTTGAATAAATAAATTAAACCAATAAAATTGGGAGTCTTCAAAGTTTCTTATCAGTTAAAGCTACTGTTAAGCCTAATTAAAATGAGTATATTCTTTAACCCAAACTATTGTTAAGCATAATTGAAATGAGAATGTTGTTAAATTTTACAGACATATTAAAACAAAAGTTGAAATTAAAAAAAAAAAAAAATTAAAAAATAATGAATAGGCTTGGGACCTATTAAATGCAAATTTAGTTAATTAGTTAAATATTAATTTAATTGGTGTAGGAGTGAAAGTATGAACCCACGGTGGTACCTTAATAAACAAGTTATAATGACGTGTACAAAATTTAAGGCTATATAGACATCCCTCCTATTAAATATAAATTTCAAATTTATGTGATTGGTTAGCTATAAAAAAAATGGTAATATATCCACACGAGAATTAATTAGATGCAAATATTATATATATTTGAATCATAATCTCACATATTTTATCTATTAAAATAAAAAAACCCAAAGTTCTAAAACTAATTGATAGGTAAGCTAATATATTGGGATACTTTGGAAGATTTTTTCTCTTTTGTTTCGGTCTCTTTTTTCAATTAAAATGTTTCATCTAAATTCTGAAGTTTAATGAGTGAATTAGATAATAATGTCATTCGCTAAATTTTCATGTCGAAGTGGGGATGGTGGGCATAATGCACAGCTAAAAAAAATATAATAAGAATAAATTATTATTTATTGAAATAAATGTTTAATTCACTTAAAAAAAATCATATATTTTAAATTAAATGACAGTACAAATTTTATGATTTTGTTATCTAGTACAAATTCAAAATTTTGGAAGGCACAATAAAATTTAGATTTATTTTTTGTTGGCTTCAACTGTATAGCGATATATTGGGCAGATTGATCTTTAAAAACACTAATTTTGTTGTTAATTTTTATTTCCCCCTCAGTTTTTGGAAAAATAAAACAATGAAAACTAGTTGGGAGCCTTTCTCATCACCTTATTTATTTATTATTTTTATTTTTAGAGAAAAGGGTTTAACAAAATAGAGAGATGAAATGGTTAAGAGAGGTTTTCTTTTAAAACGTTGGATTATTATTATTATTATTATTATTATTATTATTATTTGTTTGTAAGAAAATAGAAGATTGGCATAAAAAAAAAATGAATTAGAAAAAGAAAGGGGGATGATTGTGAAGAAAATATGAAGTAATGTAAATGAAAATCTTAAAAGTTGAAGGAATTAAATTTTGAAGGAATTGAGGGGCGAAAGTGATAATTGATATAAAACAAAGGGCCGAAGCAGAAAGAAAAGAAAAAGTAATTGATTATTTTGTTTTCGTGGTTTTGCCTATTCGTTGCTTTCTCCCTCTTTTCTGTTCTCCACCCCCATCCTCCTCCTCCTCCTCCTCCGGGTTAGAGTAGGTTTTCTTTCATCTCACTGTAGACGTCTTCTCCACGGCGCACGTTAATCTCTCAAAATTACAGACTATTGGAGGTAAGTTCTTCCCTCTATCTCCCTCTTTCTTCGGGTAGATTCTCCTCCTCCTCTCCCCGTCTGGTATTACGATAGATTTTAGTGAAACCCTAATAGCAGGGCGGCAACTTCTGGCGCTCTTATTCATTTGATTGGTTTATTAGATCGGTTGTTAGTGAGCCTTCTGAATCTGTAATCCGTACTAATCTCTGTTTTATTTTTATTCATCAGGGAGGGGGAGAGTCCATTGGGCGTAACATTACCATTGTTTTTTTTTATTAGTCTTCTTTAAATCTGTGATCGATTATCTGCTTTAAGATCTGCCAAAAGGGGGATCTTTGAGTTGCTAAGTTAGGCTTTTGATGCTTTGGCAGGAATCGGGATCCGCCAAGCGGATTAGAGTTCTGGGGTGCCCCCTGCGATGGCTAATCCTGGCGTCGGGGCCAAGTTTGTATCCGTGAATCTCAACAAATCGTATGGGCAGGCTCATCATCATCATTCATCTCATTCAAATTCATATGGATCAAATCGAACGCGACCTGGTAGTCATGGGGCCGGCGGAGGAATGGTGGTCCTGTCGAGGCCCCGCAGTTCCCAGAAACCTGGGCCGAAGCTTTCTGTTCCACCCCCCTTGAATCTTCCTTCATTGCGAAAAGAACATGAGAGACTAGATTCTTTGGGTTCCGGTGCTGGGCAAACTGGTGGAGGGGTTTTGGGAAACAGACAGAGGCCAACTTCAGCTGGTTTGGGTTGGACAAAGCCGCACACCAACGATCTGCCAGAGAAAGAAGGGCTCAGTGGTAATATAGTTGATAAAATTGATCCTTCTTTGCGAAGTGTTGATGGGGTGAATGGTGGGAGTAGTGTGTATATGCCACCTTCTGCTCGTGCTAGTACGGCAGGGCCAGTTGTGTCTACTTCTGCGTTATCTCAGGTGCATACTGCAGTTGAAAAAGCCCCCGTTTTGAGAGGTGAGGATTTCCCATCCTTGCAAGCAACTTTACCTTCTGCTGCTGCACCTTCTCAGAAACAGAGAGATGGTTTGAGTTCTAAATTGAAGCATGCGGCTGAAGTTTCATATGAAGAACAGAGGGATACTTCTCATTTAAGTTCTAGTATAGATGCCCGCTCAAAATTTCAGTCATCAAAGAAAAGTATTCCCAGTGAAAATGCAAAAAATGGCAACTCTTTTAGTTCCGGGAGTTTTCAATCACCAGAATTATCACGGAAGCAGGAAGATATTTTCCCAGGCCCTTTACCACTAGTCTCGATGAATCCTAGATCAGACTGGGCTGATGATGAACGTGATACAAGCCATGGTTTGATTGACAGGGTAAGGGATCGAGGGCATCCAAAGAGTGAGGCTTATTGGGAGAGGGACTTCGATATGCCTTGGGTTAGTTCTCTTCCCCACAAGCCCATTCATAATTTTTCTCAGAGATGGCATCCACGGGATGATGAATCTGGGAAGTTTCATTCCAGTGATATTCATAAAGTGGACCCTTATGGTCGGGATGCAAGAACGCCTAGTAGGGAAGGCTGGGAAGGAAACTTCCAGAAAAACAATCCTATACCAAAAGATAGATTTGGTTCAGACAGTGGTAATGATAGAAATGATATTGCAGGGAGGCCCACTAGCATTGATCGAGAAACAAATGCTGATAACATGCATGTTTCACAGTTTCGAGAACATGCTCCTAAAGTTGGGAGGCGGGATGCTGGATTTGGGCGGCAAACCTGGAACAGTGCGTCAGAATCTTATAACTCCCAGGACCCAGATTGGACTGCAAAAGACAAGCATGGTAGTGAGCAGCACAATAAGTTCAGGGGTCAAACACACAATACTTCAGTTTCAAACTCGTCATACTCTCCAGGTTTAAAACGAATTCCTGCCGATGATCTGTTGCTGAATTTTGGCAGGGATAGACGCTCATTTGCCAAGATTGAGAAACCTTACATGGAAGATCCTTTTATGAAAGATTTTGGAGGCTCTAGTTTTGATGGACGAGATCCTTATACTGGTGGTCTTGTTGGGGTGGTCAAGAGGAAGAAGGATGTGATTAAGCAAACTGATTTTCATGACCCTGTTAGGGATTCGTTTGAGGCCGAACTTGAGAGAGTTCAACAGATTCAAGAGCAGGAACGACAGCGAATTATTGAGGAGCAAGAAAGAGCTTTGGAACTAGCTAGGAGAGAAGAGGAAGAGAGACAGAGGCTTGCAAGGGAACAGGAAGAAAGGCAGAGGAGAGCTGAAGAAATAGCCAGGGAAGCAGCATGGAGAGCTGAGCAAGAGAGACTGGAGGCTGTACAAAAAGCTGAAGAACTTCGGATTGCTAGAGAGGAAGAAAAACAAAGAATATTTGTGGAGGAAGAGAGAAGAAAGCAGGCTGCTAAACTGAAGCTTTTAGAATTAGAGGAAAGAATGGCCAAGAGGCAGGCTGAAGCTGTGAAATCAAGCACTTTGACTTCAGATATTCCTGAAAAGAAGATTTCCAGTGTTGTAAAAGATGTTTCCAGGTTGGCGGACTCTGTTGATTGGGAAGATGGTGAAAAGATGGTGGAGCGAATCACTACATCAGCTTCTTCTGAGTCATCTTGCATAAATAGGCCCTCTGAGGTGGGCCTTAGAACTCAAGTTTCTAGAGATGGTTCTCCTTCCTTCGTTGACAGAGGCAAGTCTGTTAATTCATGGAGAAGAGATTTTTATGACAGAGGAAGTGGCTCTCAATTTGTTCTACAGGATCAGAGTACTGGCTACACTGGTCCATGGCGGGAGGCAACAACTGGTGGGCGTGTATCTTCTAGGAAAGAGTTTTATGGGGGAGCTGGACTTACAACTTCTAGAATATATAATAGAAGAGGCATGACAGAACCACAATCTGATGATTATTCTCAGCTAAGAGGGCAGAGACCTAACCTTTCTGGGGGTGGTGATCAGTATAACAGGAGCCAAGAGTTCGACTCTGAATTTCAGGATAATGTTGAGAATTTTGGTGATCATGCATGGAGGCAGGAGGGTAGTCGCAACAACTTCTATTTTCCTTATCCTGAACGAGTAAATCCAATTTCTGAGGCTGATGGGTCCTATTCTGTTGGAAGGTCACGCTATTCCCAGAGGCAACCTCGTGTTCTTCCTCCTCC